CTCCTCTCTCTCTCTCTCTCTCTCTCTCTCTCTCTCTCTCTCTCGGGATCGGGCTCGGATGATGAAGAGGGGGTCGGTTAGAAAGGGAGATCGGAATTTTGGTTGGACGCTGGGAGGATTCCGGCTGCTGTGCTCGGGATTGAGGGGAGATCGGGAGCAGACAGAGGGGTTCGTGTGTGCGGAATCGAAGGGAGAAGCGGGAGAAGAGCTTCGGCAGTGAAGGTGTTGTGGGAGAGGTCGTGCGTGGAGAGAGTTTCGTGCGAGAGGAGATCGTGAGTAGCGGGATGGAAAGGGAGGAGCTCGGCTTCTATTTAACGATGCACAATGGCGCTCGATCGAGGTAGGTCGCAGGAATCCCGCGAGGAACGTCGGCTGGATTTACGAGATTTGATCAGTTCGGCGCCGTATCTACAGTAATTTTGACGGGATTTCAGCGGGATTTCGGGAGATTTGGGCGGCTTCTCGACATATACGAGGTATGTCATTTTTGTTATTTCTTTCTCTTTTTGTTCTTTACTGACATATATTAAGAAAGATAGAGGTTGAACTAAAAAGACTTTGTTAGAAAATATTAGGAACTAAATTTTCTTATTAGATTTAAATGAGAATTTGACTCTTAACATGACACAAAAGAGAAAGAGGATTTATGTAGCTGACCCCACGTAGCGGGATAAAGGTTTGATGTTGTTATTTTGTTGTTGCATGTAATATAAAATGTAATAAAGATAATTGTCTAAATGGGGTTCAAATTGTAATAAACAGAAAATTTAAAGGCATCTTAATTATAGAATTGTAGTAGAACTTGGGATTTTACTGGAGAGTTCTAGAGAAATTTCTTTACAAAAATATTTAACTTTACGCCGAAACTCATGAAAATGAAAATAAAAATAAGTTTCAGGTCGGTTTGAGTTGAAACCAAATCAAAATCACCGAAACTTAAAACAATGATAAAACCAACTTAAATTTTCCATTTTCATTTCCTCTCTTCCCATCCCAACAAACCAAACAGAGCCATAGGGATAAGAAACGCACCTGCTTCTTTTTTTTCAGAGCCTCTTCAGACCTCGCTATCTTGTTCGTGAATGCCTTCTCAAGTTCAGAGAGAGCAGCTTTTTCTTTCTTTCCTAAGAAAATTAAAAATTAAGACGAAATAAAAGATTTAGTCCAATGGTATGTAATAGTTCAACTCATGAAGAAACACTAACGCAACATACTCATCTGCTCATAGCGTGAAATCAACTTCTCCTTATCCAACTCATATTTTGAAAATATATCTGCTAAAGCACATAAAACGCAACAATCCACTACTAGGTGTTAATAACACTGAACATACAATAGATTATAATTGGAAGACTTCTCAAGGTAATAGAGGGGAATTCAAATGCTTTTGACTCTGGAAACAAAGTACAGGGTCAAACTACTGGCAAATTATTACGTCCGGTGTCCGGGTTCGTCCGGACACCAATCCAGACGCGCCACGTCACCAAAATACATCGGATCCCATTGTATTTGGATGATGTGGCGCATCTGGATTGGATATCCATACGTCCGGTGACCGGACGTAATAATTCGCCCAAACTACCGGATCACTAATTCTTGTTGACTAGTTCTTAGAAGTTTCTAACTATAGAAAGTTTTGCGGAGAGTGAACTTTTGAATTCAGTTCTTCTTCAACTATTTCTTGGGCTGTATAGCTACAGGTGATAATGTGAATATTCACGACAATAATTGATCGAAATTCCGTATACTTCTTTAGGAAGCTATAGACTAGGCATAAGTAAAAAAATGGAAATCAAAGCCATGGCCATGTTTAATTTGTCCTTTTTTTTAACATCTATTTATGAAATAATTTTCATCAACTCCTTCAATTTTTTGTTTTAGAAACAAATTAGTGTGTCCAGAAATTTTAAAAAGACCACATTAGATATTTTACTTGTTTCCAAACATCCATATGAAAACACAAAAAAAAAAAAAAAAGTAAATACGCATTCAAACGTGTTTTTACTTTAAGTGAAAATTAAAAATAAAACTATTGCTCAGAAAATAAGCTATGCAGCTGAGCAAGTCGGTGTTAACAAGGTGCTTATATTTAACTTTTAACTCAGTTGTTAAAACTAAAATAAGCAAAACTTATGAAGTGGAAACATTTTTTTATCATAAGAAAAGTTTAAGCAACTTCCTTTGAATATCTGTAAATGGCTTGCTTTCTCGTTGGAGAACTTTTGGTAAGCTGCCTGAAACTTGTTATATTCACTCTTCAAGGAGCTCTCATACTGCAATTCATGAATTCAAATATGAAAATTTGCTGAATTTGTCGAGCAATATCATGCAAACGGATCAAAACTTTGATATATCAATATGAATACCTCTTTAGAACTCTTGGCAAGAGCCTTAAGAAAACTTTGCCTGAACATAGAAGACTGTTATTTTTCAATACTAGAAAGCATGGAAATTTAATCAGTTCAGAAAGGTGGAGATAACATCATATTGATTCTTGGTGCTGCTTTTCACTACGCATTTCACTTATCCGACATAAGGTGATTCCGGTTTGTTCAGGAAATGTGTAACAAAAAGTGTTGTACTACCTGTGCATCCCCTCCATGACTTCCCAACCAAGGTAAACATATGTGTAAAGCAACATATCTATCACTGTGCCAGATTGACTTGATTTCATATCAAAGAACACGAGATCAAAAAATGAAGCGTAATTAGCGAAGGCATGATGGAAGATTGGAGGACATCAAAATTTACTAGAGAGATGATAACAATGAAAAAGGAAAATTGCGCCTGATGTTAAAATTATAGAGTCAAATGTTTTTCTCATCAAATATCTACAAGATATAATTGAGGTCACCTTTTTATTGAAAAGAATAAATGATCAAAGTGTTCTATAAAATTTTTTGATTTGCCTATTTTAATCTTAGATTTTTCTTAATGTTCAGCTTAGTCACTCAACACATCAAATTTGAACCAATTAGGTCATATGATTGGCAGTCATTTCGTTGGATGAAAATTGGAGTAAATATTTTCATGAGGGCAATTTGGAACAGCCATAGAGGGTCAATTTGATTAGTTTCAGCTTGTATTTAGAGAATAGATTGACCTTTAAAAGTCCATAATATGCTTATGAAAACCTTCCCTTCACTAATTTATGTCCAAAGAAATGAGAAAGATGATGGACGGATTAACTCAATTCAAATTTGATGAGTTAATAGACTACTAAAAGAATTAAAAATTTTGAGGTAAAATAAACACATCTAAAAAGTCTAGGGACCATTTTGATCATTCTACCTTATTAAAACTATTGGATTGAGATTTACAAATATTTGATTAAATCTCTTTGTGACCTATGAAACATTTTGTTGACTTTAAGCAATCTTATAATAACTTGTAAGAATTTATAATTAATTCCATACTTTCAAACTCATTACTTTTTACTACTATAAATGGAGCCTTAGAATGAAGGGAGGCGAAGAAAGAGGAGAGGAAGAGAGAGGGAAGAGGAGTTGCATCCTTAGAATGAAGGGGGAGAATTTTTTCTGGTGCTTGTAATGGAGGTCTCTAGATTCTTTGCTAGGAAAGAAATGCTGCTATTTTTAGTTCTAGAAAGAGTAAAAGCTCAAAACCATGATAATAGAAGCTCTTGTTTGGACTAATGTAATAGAGAAGAAAAGAGAACTAGAACAATAATAATGTTTTATTTTGGATATCCAGCCTCATTTTTATGGAAAGTGATTGTATTCTCTCAGACATTTAAATAAATGTAGTATGTTTTTGCTCATCTCCAAATTTGTATAAAATATTTCTTTTTATATATATTTTTGAAGCTTAATGAATTATTTTATTGTTGTGCAATCATAGACATCGATGAATTTCACAAAACCACATAATATTATTTCTTCTATTTGTGATCTATATCGGATTTGTTTCTCACATATTTTAATGATTTATTTTCTTGTATGCTAGAAGTTTTAATAATTGTATCAAAAATTGATATTTAAGATTCGGTCTAAAAAACTTTTATATTCAATCATAGTGGTCAAGAAGATCAAAATCGAACTTCACTTTCAAATCCAATGGTTAAAATTTTGGGTTTTAGAAGATGTCAGAAAGAGCTTCAATCACAAATAACACCAATGAGTTCAACTAAATCCTAAAGAAATTGAGCTCCATGAACATGTAGTTTGATGATGAGATTCATGATTTAAGTTTACTTTCATAATTTTCTAAAAGCTAGGATGACATTGTAATGATTTCCTACCGTCCCTATTGATCATCTAACATGAAGCTTAATGACATTAGAGATCTCACAAAAAAAGTAGATCACAAAACAAAGATAATAATAAAGAAAAAGGTTGATAAAAAATTTGCAGCAAAAATTAACAATCAAATCACAATAGAAGCAAATCTCACAATTCTCCAAGTGAATGCTAGCACTATGACAAGGCTGGATGCATAATAAAAGAATATAGAAAATAGACGTATGAATAAGGCCAAAACCCACCTAAAGAGATAATAAATATTGGACTTAGGTGTATCTTTTCATGTTGATGTCCACATGAAGGACTTTCAAGATATGATAATACTCAGCATAGGCAATTCATTGGAGCTATAAATGTTTCGTGTAAGGATCTAATGATGAACTATTGCACATGCAATCATAGCATAGTGTTCCTTGTTAGCGAAGAGCCCTTGAATTTTGCGGGCATTCATGGTATGATAATCAAGACAAAAAAGCAATGCATATTCATAGCTTAGGAGAAACTCACACTTGGAAATGGAACAAAGAAAGACACATCCATAGCTTTAGAAGAAACTTGATATCCGTTGGACAGCTTGTGACAAAAGAATGGCATACTACTATCAATACTGATACTTAGAAAGTGATGAAAGGTGCTTTACCAATTGCTTAGGGTAATATAACAGGAACCCTCTACACTATCACCAACACAAGAAAAATGGAAGATAAATAACCATCTATACTAGAGAAAGCTTTATTAACCATTGAAAATAGTAAAGCCAGTCAATTGATCAAGAGAGTAGAAGGTAATGAACTATAAAGCTTTAGGAATTATTCAATTATCCCTTAGAATAAATGTCTCTTTCAACATCCTAAATGAAACCACTACTATAGGCATCCGTAATGAAGTTATTTTCTGACATGCTTGAAAAATCCTTCGTAGTCAACAAGGGACATATGTAAGTTTTTTCAATCTCGGCATGTCAGAAGGAGCTTTACTTATATATCGTATTAACGAATTCAACTCAATCAGAAGGAAACTGAATTATGTGAATGTTAAGTTCAATGAAATGATTCATTATTTTAGTTTACATTTATCCTTGCTCGAAAGCTCTAATGACATTGTGACATCCATCAATAGCTCTTATGAATTGTTTACCATGAAGCTTAATAATATTACTAATTTAAGGAATCTAGGGATTTTAGTTTAGTCTCACATTGAGTAATTGAAAACTATAACCTCACCCATTGGCTTAAGTTTTTGAGTTTAAAATGCACTTGAATATTGGTGTATCTAGCCCAATTTTGGCCAAATTTGAATACACACCCATAACATTTGGTATCAAAGTTGAAGGTTTGGCTGAAATCATGTGAATCATCTAGTTTATGCTCGGATCTTAACCACTTTCTACCATGGTTGAGCAAGGTTTAAAACCATGTGAATATCATGATAACTTCATGTGATTGAATGGGATCTTGGTGGGCAATGCTTGATTATGTTGAAAAGCTTCCATTTGATGGAGATTGATAACTGATGTGGAAGAGATCTCATGTGAGGGGGATATTATTAAGACATGTGAGAGTTTCATTTAATCCTTAATGGATAGTTGAAAAATATATTAGCATAAAAATACATAGTGCCTGACCCTCACCAGAGGCTTAAGATTTTGGGTTAAAAACAAGTTTGACTATTGATCTATCTAGCCTAATTTCAACTCCTCTTTGGACCACACTCTCTTAACAGACATTATTGGGATGTTAGGAAATTTTGTTCAATTGTGAGCAAATGCCTTGAAATCTAAATGAAAAAAAAAAACTCTATAAACCTTTGAATGTTCATAATTCAAGGGTTAATTTTGGAAATGTCATTAAAAAGAAATTGACAAAATAAAATCCTCAAGAAATTACATGAATAAAAAAACATTGTTTTCATGAACTAAAAACATGGAATTTTCGTCTCCATCACGCTGAATCAAACATGATGCAGTGAAATATAATGTGGTTGTTATTACCTCTCTTTTTCAAATTTCGACTTTGCATCATCTATCATTGATTTGATCTCTGATGCCACACTGTCATCAAAATGAGTTAGCTAACTCAGAAGCAGCAACACATTATTTCATCCATATAAGGGGAAAAGTATACTATTCCCCCTAATTAAAATCACTTTGAAAGTAAATTTAAAAGGAAATCGTTGGTTATCATACTGTCTATTTACTACATCAAATAAACCATCTGGTCACAATCGAAAACAAGAAACACGTTTTGGCCGGCATCCATGAAAACATCTAAAACGCTTTATACAATCAAGTCATCAATAAAATCCGGTTGCACCTAGGTGAGTAGTATCCCGACTCAAACGCGGGGCGCTGAAAAATTACCTGGAAGAGATCCAACAGAGTATCCAATCCCAGTACTCCAACATAGCACAATTCCAGTAGAGATATATTCTAAAAATCAAGTAAAAGCTTTCAAAATATAAGAAAAAATAGACCTCATGATCGTCTCTTCATTCTTCTTCTGTCCATCTTTTTGCGCTTTGTCCCTAATCTGTTGCAGCGCCGAGATGATTCCTTTAATGTCACTGTAAATGCCCGAATTCATTTCCATTTTAAGCACAAATATACTGATCGGATGGAAACATAATGACAAAGTTAACTAAAACTCGAGATCTTACCTAGAGAGATCGAGATCATCATCGAACTCGTCTACAGCACGCCTCTTCTTGTCCGATCTTAGGGATTCACCGTCCTTCCCTGTCCGCTTTACGCTTCCATCAATCGCCGACATTGACGTGTCAGAACCACTCCAGGAGCTGAACCACTAGCTCATAAAAGGTCAACTGTCGAATCAATGAAGCCAAAGGATCTTCTCACTGGGTGAATCGGAGATTCGAAACCCTAATTTCCTCCAGACAAATCAAGCAGAGAGGACTGAGCAGGAAGAGGGCGAAGCTTTAGCTCATTCAGTTTATGTAGCGTGAAGTTGATATCTCTCTCCTTTTATACCTCTCGACGAACACATCTAAAATTGCATCAATGCCCTTAGAGTATTTCCCGCTCTCTTCATAGTTCAAACTTTATTGCTCAAAGGATAAAGCTAACAAATTAATATAATTTAGAGGGATTTACATATATGCACATATTTTTTATATATTTACACATCTAATATCTAATTTTTTATATTTATTTATATATTATTTTAGTATTTAAAACATGTAAAAGGATATACATGAAAATATGTATTTTATTTTAAATAAATTAATATTAACTAATGTGATTTAAAAATGTCATAGTGTTAACATTACATGAGTAAAACTTTTTTTAGCTTTTCATTACCTTCTCTTTCTTAAAACTATCATAATTTTGCGAGATTTAGGGGGGTATTTATACAAATGTGATGATGATTTATATATGCATATAAAATGTGCATGTCCTTTTTATTCTATGGATATTTTTACTCTAAAGATGTGGTAAAGTGACGAAAAATACATTATCTATTGATTTCGTAAGTGACTAAAAATACAGTATCTATGAATATTTTTACTCTAAAGATGCGGTAAAGTGACTAAAAATACATTAATTTTTCCCATACAATTGTTGGTGATGTCATTCATAATGTGGGCATACCTTTTCATTTTATTTTTATTGGCAATCGCAGTATAATGTTTAATAAAAAATTAAAAAAATTATATGAAAACTCGTGTCATGTAAGTAATTAATTAGATGGATCAATAAAGCTTTTCACAAACAATAGCTAATGATATTTTATAACAACTTGATTATTATGAAAATAATTTTAAAATAAAAAATATGAATTTTTGTCTGAACTAGAGTGTTGTGGTGCTATGCTTGAGAACGTAGCAGTGCCATAAATTGTCACTACGATGTAAAAGGCTCTATTCTATAGTAATTTTGGATTTAACATGCAAGGCAGCGACATTGGAATAGAGCATCGTGGTGGTAATCACTAAAAATAAAATTTTTAATAATTTTTTCTAATATTCCTCACCACCACCCACTCTCTCCCTGGCTCTCATTGCTTGGCCGCAAAGGAAACGAAAAGAAGAAGGGGAGCAGAAGATAACTATGAGAGAGAGAGAGAGAGAGAGAGGAGAGAGAAAATTCTTCAGTGCTTTTTCATCCATTATTCTTGTTATAAAAATTATTCTAGACATTGTAAGTAACTATACTCTTACTCCCATTTTCAATGGTTTTGATTTTTATGGATATCATCTCTCTGAAAACCGCCTAAAAATACATTAACTATTGATTTAATAAGCTTTCACTATATAACTTTTGATATGTTATATATTTAATTATTTTGAATAATTTGATATAATTTTTTACACTTTTACTGGTTAAATATGGTTATAAAAAGATTCTCTATAAAATGAGAAGGGAAAAGGTACATGTATATTGAAAAAGGTTTTAAAGTGATGTATTGTGATTTGATAAGATAATACTTAAATATAATATGTGTGAAAATGATTGGTATGTAGTAGAATGAAATAATGATATTACTATGAATCTGATTAATATCATATAAGAAATAATATAATATTTAGTATATGTGCATAGAATTGGGAAGCTGAAATACTGCTATGAAATACTATAAGGTGTGGAGAAATGATGCACTAAGTGTTATTAGATATATGATATGATAACCTCATGTGTACCCTCAAGAATCATGTGATTTAATTATAGGAGTTATAAGACGATGGAGACTAATACATAGAGTCATAATGAGCTGGAGACATGTCCATGTGATTCATTATTTGGGAGTCACAAGGAGTTGGAGACTGATACGAGAGTCATAAGTGTAGGAGAAGGATTAAAATACCCTTATATAAATATCTGAAAAATGATAAGAGTATTGATATATGATAGATAGTACTAATGAATGATAAGAATACTAATACGACTACTTTATTAATATAATTGATTGGCTGATATTATATAACGAATAATGAGATTGATTGATTGAATGAGGCTAATTAAATAATAAAGAAAGTTTGACTGATTGATTAGCTAATAAGGATTGTTGTATGATTGAGACTATTAAGGATATAATTAATATAATTGATAAACTTAGATATGATATCTAATAGACTGGTAAATTGATACAAGTGACTGATGTCAAGCCAGTGGTTCACCTCAACTCACCTAATGGATGTATTTACCATAATACCTGTATTAGCCTATTTATACATCTCTGTAGCTCTCAGTTTAATCAATGTAATTACTATTTCCTTTTCTACATTTTCTGTTCTTGCACTCTGGTGCCTTCTCCTCTCTGCCATTCTCTCATGGTATCAGAGCCAACAATGGGGGATCAAGTATCAACAACCTCCCTCCTTCCCTCTTCTCTAAACATTGCAGAGCCTTCTCCCTTCACCGATATTCCCATCCCTGCTTCTCTAAAGTTCTTAATTTCTAATATCAATAACTTGCTCCCACATCCCCTCACCGCAGAAAATTATGAGATTTGGTGTCTACATATCCTTCAACAGTTCACGGCTACCAGTTTTGCTGGCCATCTCACGAGCAAAACAATGCTGACGGCTGAAGAAAATACCAAAGAATCCGATGGATGGCATCTTGTGGACAGCAATCTCATCTCGGCACTCTTCGCTACCATCTCACCATCCATTCTACATAATATATACATTAATTTATTGATTTTCTTATATGATTCATAGCATAATGTTTCTATTTTTTGTGTATAGATTTTAGTTGTAAGATTTTAGATACTTGTTAGGCTTTTGTGCTCATTACATAGTTTTATATGATTTTAGATAAAGTTAATGAACATACAGTTTGAGGCTAGACAATGATTCTAGTTTTGTTCTATTTCCATTTCTTTGGTTTTTATATATATATTTATAAACTGTTGTGACTATTGTATATAATATTTTTGGGACTTTGGACCTTATAGTGAAATATAAATATTGACTATAAAAATATAATTTTGTGTTTCACTGTTTATAATTTTTCTAGATGCAAGTACTAATCTCTGTTTGATGATGATCTGATTATATAAATGAATGTTGGTTGTTAATTGATAATAATAAAAGAAACAAATTGAAAGAAAAGAATAAATAAGACTAAAGGGAAAAGATGTGAAATTCTTCCACTTTCAACTTGAAAAAAGTATCATTAAATTTCATGTCAATAAAAATGTTCTTAAGATAATGTTATTAGATTTTAATTTGGGAGATCTAAAAGATAGAACTTTGTCATATATATAGGATCGCCTAGATTTTAGCATGCCACACATAGAAGTAATTTAGTATTTATCTCTTTCAAAAAATTATTGAGCTCTTAAATGTGTAAGCTTGAGTTAGAATAATTTCGCCTCAAGGGAATTTGAGTTAAGTGGTTCAGCCTTAATTTAACCTAAGATTAAGTTAGAATTGGCCTAGGTTTAATTCGTCATAGGGTTTTATTAGGCCTTAGTAAAATATGTTTAGAGTATAACCTTAGGATAGCTTAGGATGAGGATTGAAACAAATCTAGCTCAATTAGGTATTTGGGTCTTTGACCGGTTCATGTGAAATCTAAGGACTCGATTTTCTCCAACCAAGATTTAGCAATGTTAAAATGAATCATTCTAAGCCCAATTCAATACATGCTTAAGTATGTGTAACGTAAGGATCTTTTAATAGAAAGAAATCAATATAAATATAGATTCACATAAGGACATCCCGAGATCTAATGGAAGTATTAAATCCCTAAACCTACGTTTCTTAGCAATAATATAAAACAAATCAGATCACCTAAATCTAAACTAATATTAACAATGTAAAGTATCATTCAAATTTTCATTTTTCAAGAAAAAAATTACAATAATCCAATCCATACAAATTCTATACATAAAAAATGAATAACCGAATTACAAAATACCACAAAAATCATGGTACAATCGATCATGCCCTTATGAACTCTACTCTACTGGGCATTTTCCTTTTCTAAAATATTAGAGATATTTCATAGAGTGAGCACAACAAGCTCAATAAACTTCTTCCATACTCCAATTATATATATCAATGTCTATTTTCTTATTAATAGCAAAGCGTCAAAGTAATAAGTTAAAGTGTCAGAGTATAAATTAATTACTAACATTAAATAACTTATATGAAATTAAATACATTACATTCAAAAATATCAATTTAGCAATTTCTACTTGAATTACACATAGCACTCATCTTTATACCTTTCATAGGAACACTTTCACAAGGCTTATCAGAATATGCCTATTATTAGAGTTATCACTTGTACTTCTATAAGTAAGCTTCACATAAATATTAGAATAACAGAGTGTACTTGCCACCAGAATAATTCTTATGCTTGAACATATTTAAATTATTCGAATATACAATATATGAATATATTATGCATATATCTCGATGCCTACATATAACTTCACTTTGACTTATAGCTCCTTTTAAACCTCTAAAACCAACCTAAGGCAAGTGGGGTTAGAACATAATAGAAACCTCCCACACCAGCATAAAGAAAGTGGGGCTAGAATGAAGTAGAGCATAAACCTCCCACATCTACATAGGGTAGATAGTGTCAATATATATATATATATATAGGGCCCTTGTAACATTTCCTAAAAGTGCACTTCTAACATTTCAAATTTTGGAATTTCTCTAATGACATACCATGAATTATTCAATTTGAACAACTAGAACCACCCACATCAAGGAACATTGTATATGTAAAGGCCTACCCACTAAACATTTTCCTTTCCAATTACAATTCCAAAAAAAACATTCAAAATAACATTTTAAGACTTTTAGTGAACTATCATGAATATAAAAAAATGCCTTATTTATCAATATGCATAAAAATCATCATAGAGAAAACCAATTAGAAGAAGTTCAACTTCTTATAGTCAAAGTGTCCATAATAAAGCATGCTATAATATACAAAAAGTAACACTGAGAAAATGTCATAAAGCCTAAGAAGAATTTATTTTTGTTAAC